TATATGGAGTTGGGACAATCGAACTCGGCATGCATATCATACGGGAGGGTAGAAAGTAAGGTAGAAAGATCTGATTCAAAAGTTCCTTCAAAGATTTCAAATGGTATCGTCATCGTCCTTAAAAGTTAAGATATACAAGGCAATCCGCCCGGATCAGCAGCTATCAAGGATCCCTTTCATATCATCCCATCGTTGCGCGGAGATATCAACCAGCTGCTTCAGCTCTCTAGTGTCCGCTGCCCATCCACCGTTCTTCTCCATTTTTACAATCACTGTTCTCCCTTGTCCCGCGTTCTCTTTGTCGACCACGATGCAAATCCTCTCCTGGCTCAAACTCTCCTCATATCCATCGGGGTCAGCGAGGATCCACCTTCGCTGGATGCCTTTTCTGTCATTTTCCTCAATCTTCCTCTCTTCTTCAGCATCGGGAATAATAACCTTTCTCCACCCAGAAGCTGCATCTGCCTCGAAGACGCAGAACGAGCTGGCGACAGGCATACCCCGCAGCGACAGTTTGTGCGCTTCAGAAACCTCCTCCGAGCACACCACCATCTCATTATCGACATCCCACCACGCCTTGGGCAATTTCGTATCCCGAAGCGCAGCCAGAACAGCGGCCCAGGCAGCATCGAAAGGATTGCCGGCTAGCGAGATGATCATCACATCAATGTACAGCACCCAGAACGCTTTGATTTCTCGACTCTTGGCAGCTGCATCGCCCTCTTGAGCATCCACATCCATCTGCTCGTCCTCGTTATGCCGTTCCAACTCCTCTGCTCCCAGGTTCGGCGGCTGATACCAGATTCGCAGATCCTCTGCGCGCACTAGGCGGGTGCTGTGTAGGAGTGATAGGATCTGATGTGACAGCGACTGCGCCAGCGCCGAGGGTGGAGCCCCGGGGATAAATCCAGGAGCGCAGCCAGTGCTGAGTGAAAGGTTCGGCACGAGCAAATTAAGGTCTTGGATGTGTGATTCGTCGTCCTCGTCTTCGTCATCGTTTTCATGGTTGGCTGCCACAGTCGCCTTCTCAGTGGTGTCGGTTAACTTCCGCCGCTTGTTCGTAGAGGTAGGTGCCGATGCTCGCGATACACTCCACGAGGCAATGTCGTCGGTATGAAGAATTTCAGCGCGAACCCCGCAGACCGCCGCAGTGTCACCGATTCTGACTACGGCACTGCCGTTCGTATGCGTCAAAGAGCCGGTGTTCGCAGAGGTAACGCGGAACTGGGAGGTAGCACGGCCATTGGCTCGAATAGAAGGCTGATTGCTTGATGGAGGAGGTGATAGATGGGCAAGAAGGTAGGCGTGAGGTTGGAGCCGGGCAAATTGAGATGGTGGTAGTGAGAGCGATGGCGGGGCTGACGGCGCAGCTGTTGATGCTGCAGCAGGAGCCATTCTAGTAAAGGGCAAAATCCAAATTTGCAGGAAATCAATGAGCAGTCGACGCTTGATTTCCTTGAATTGTCGCTTTGTCCTGCGGAAAGAAAATAATGCAGCATTGAATTCCCTAGTTTTATGCGGCAGAATCGTCTGCACCTCCGGAAGCGGTGAGAGACATTCATCCACGACACGTGATATAGGAGTATCACTTCAACTACGCAGTACTTTTGGTCGTTAAGCTACGAGTTTCGCACCTCAATGCTTTGAATACGGGATGTAACTGCTTCATTTGCACATTTTATGCCTGGGTCTAAAGGGTTAAGAAGAGCAATGAAGCCGGTGTTCATGACCCTTCGAGATTGTTCGAATGACTAAAAACACCCTGACGAGTCTTCCCTTGTACATCTGGCTTGCACAAGGAGCGGATTATGATGATTTTCTAGAAGTTGCGCAATATAGGTCATTGAATCAGCAATTGCATCAGGCGAGACGCCAAGGTTAACCCTATAACCAAAAGCCGATAGATGAAACAGGAAATTAAACACGCGGAGCCTTGCAAATGACCAGTAGCTCAGGGGCCATGGTTCATGCAATCGATATCGGTTTTCTAGCGCATTATGATAGACCGGTTCGGCCAATATCACTCTTTTGAGTATGAAGCCAAAAGATCGTCGCTTTATCTTCTAATTATAAATACGAGAAGCCGTCGATCCCATTGGTTCCCGAACAACTCGGTTGAGATGGATCCCCAGTGCTTTTTGCGGTTGACCTTGGAGACTGACCATGAGTATCCAACTGCATATCTCTATGTGTCAGTTGAGCTTGCCGCTTTCACTAACGAAGAGAAGAGGCAACGCAGACGGTCAATAGGAGCGCGTGAAGTGCGCAATCCCTGGCCATCACGCAAGAAGCCCCTCTTTCGAGGCTTTGTGTCGTTTGATTGGAGTGGATCACAACTATTAAGGTTGCGAGCTCATGGCTTCTTCCACCTTCTCGTGTTGATCGATATATGACTCGTGTTCAACCCTTTTCGCTTAGGCGATCCCACGAAGATCTGGTCATCGTTTCCATTTTTACTTCTCCGCCCGAAATGCGGATGATGAACTTGTTCAGATCTCAGATCAGGAGCACATCTTGTACATGTGGCGCCCTGGGAATGTATCGCAGTCTCGTATTCTGCGGGAGGAGCCAATTTTATGGTCCATCGCATAGTCTGTGTTGGGCGCACGGTCGACCGACCTTCGTTTGAGATCCTGCTATAAGCCAGACTTATTAACATATAATGGGATCTCTCTTGGGTTAGTTCTAGAAAAGTACGGCAAAGGATAACTGACGTGTATTCTATCAAATAATGAGATTGTGGTATAGCCGGGAAATGCAGCGGACTCGAGATGGACTCGGCTTTACTGCAAGTCCGAAGCTTGCAGGTCTGTCTCGCGGCTCACCTGAGGAGCGACGAACGAGAGATGCCCTAGTCAGTCCTTGTTCAACGAGATACATAGAGAACGCCTTCGATCTCACCGGCAGTAATGATTCGCCTGTCATATCGCCCTTGTCACCGACCGACCATGCGCGAGATCACTTTCTGGAGCAAAGAAAAAGAGACGACAGCCTTCCTCTCACCGGTGGAGGTACCCAATCTTCTTTTCAATCTATCGTTAAATGGGACACTGATGATGAAATCAACTGCTGGAGCGATGCGGCCACAGCCGGCGCAGTGCTTTCTCTGCTTCACAAGGAGCCACCCAGCCCGCCACCTTGCGCGCAGCCTCGATTTGATAGAAATGCCTCAGATGAACAAAGGCTGACATGTGTTGTCTGCTTCGATGACCTCGATGATGGATGTTACCCACAGCCTCCCATTGCAGCTGGCTGCGATCATGGGTTCGTGCCCGGGATGCATATCTGCTTCACCTGCCTTCGTCGAAGTCTAGACAAACAGCTTTCGTCAGGCGCTAGGTTTCTGTCATGTCCAATTTGCCTTGAGCAGCTATCCGACGAGGAGGTACAACGGTGGTCCAGCAGACGAACCTTCCAGGCGTATGATGCCAAGCGCACTTGGCAGGTCCTGGAAGAAGATGCTGAATTCGTTCCATGTATCAGGAAAGACTGCGGATACGGACAACTACATGCTGGTGGACATGAGGACCCAATCGTCGTTTGCGGTTCCTGTGGCACTCGAACCTGCTTCATTCATCGTGATACAGTTTGGCATGAAGGGTTGACCTGCAAGGAGTACGATCGACTAGTCAATCCGAGACCCGACTCGCCGGAGCTACGGAGGAACGCCGGCAAAGAAGCTCGGCGTTTATTTCCAAGATTAAACAGACTAAGGACACCCCGGAGAGAAGCTGAGAGCGATGCAAGGCTCGGATACAGTTCCGGAAGACCACATGGTCAGCTAGATTCGACGAATGAGGGGCTTTCAAGCAGTCAAACGATACAGGAGCCTTCCAAACCATGCCCGAACTGCCAGGCGCAGACCGAGCGAGCCGGGGGATCCAAATTTATGCGATGTAAGCACAGCATTTTCCGGTTTTGTATATATGTTGACTAATGGTTGTCGCTCTATACAGGTTGCTTATGTCGACAGAACTGGTGTTGGGACTGTGGGATTCGGTGGCAGCTGGGCCATCTGGAGATTGACTGTCTTTACCAGAAAATATAGAATAAAGCACGAAGGCTCCAAAGGGTCTCCATTGTCACTGCTGGACGGAGCAGTATTCAAGATCTGTCTCACTGCATCTATGCCTACGAGCATTATTATCGACCTCATTTCGAAAATTTCACACTGTAATCCAAAGCTGACAGGGTTGAATTTATCCCTCTCATGAGTGATTATGCTTGATTGCTTGCCCACTGAATCATTCATATGCATAAATACCCGCTAATGCAGGCCTTGATGGCGTCGTCACCTTCTTCTCATTGTTTGGACGTGTGATTGGGGGAAAGCCGTAATGGCTGGCGCTAAATCCGACAATCTCACTTGTTGTTTCTTCGCCTGTTAGCTTGAAGAACAGCGGAAGAAAATCAAGGGAGTATTACAATCCCTTCTTTGAAATGTGATAGGACAGTCAGGATACACACGTTCTGCACTCTCTGCCACACCCGATAGCCACTGTGCGGATGCACCCTATCTAGTGTTGGTTGTTGACTCGATACGGAGGACTCCCATGCTCTCCTCGCTAACGGACTCTGACAGATGAGCTTGTTTTCCCCTCATCACAAACCAGACCAACCATAATGATAAGAAAGTTGTCTCATCACATTGTGCATGCCAACATGGCAAAGCGCGTTGGATCACACATGAGCCAAGAAGGCCATCAACTGTGCAGCGGTAAGCTGTCATCTTTCCCCTCTTCCCACGCTTGCAGTGGAAGCTCTCCCATCAATGTACATCTGCGCCTTTTATTTCCTCAGTTGGTCGCTGATCTTCCTGATTCCTCTGTACAGTTATAATTCCAGATCCTGACTGGCGGTTGTCTTCTAATAATACAGATCCATGAAGATTTTCAGAATGCCCTAATTGCTCATCGGTGACCCTTTCATCGAGTCAAGGACCATTGTCCCCTCTCTGAGAGCGCAGGTTCAAGTCATTCGTTGCGCACAAGGAACGCACCATGCAGGTAAAGTGGGATATAGTGGCTTCACTGGCGAAGCGTATCATTATTCCTACGACAGCCTCTACCACCCCTGCTGAAGTCGCAGAGCGTCAACGAGACCCATGGTCTCAATCGGGCAAATATGGCCAGGGTTGGGTCTACTTCTCCATTGTCCTACTCGCTCTTGCAACCATCATTCGGTTCTACCATGTTTGGACCGATAAAATGAGAATCGCATTGTACAAGGAAGATCTGGCGGACGCAACGCAGGGCAATTCTCCCCAAGACGAGTATGAGCTTCCAAGTGCCGCCACCGACAGCTCCACTGCACAGTTCTTTCCAGCCCGTGGCCCTCTACCCGGGGTCAAGAAGCAGCAGTCATCGATCTCAACCATTGCTCCGTTGAATAATACAGTTGCCTTCTTGCGATGGATATTCTACCAGCCTCTCCCAGTGCTGCGGATTGGGACGCTGCGCATCGTTTTTCCGTCGCTGGGAGCTTCTGCTGTCGTGCTCGCAGCGTTGGTCTTCGTAACGCTCTACTCTTTCGTACCGCAGCCGCTGTACTACTCATCTATTACCATTGGATCTCCGCCGTTGGCCATTCGCGCCGGCATGATCGCCGTAGCCATGGTGCCTTGGATTGTCGCACTCAGTACTAGGGCAAATTTCATCAGCATGCTTACTGGTTTCGGTCATGAACGTCTTAACGTGCTCCATCGGTGGGCAGGCTACCTGTGTCTGTTTTTGAGTTTGGTACACACAATTCCATTCTTCGTCACGCCGATCTGGGAGGATGGGGCTCTCATATGGTACCAACAATACCTTCCGCGCAACGTTTGGGTCTACGGGACAGGTCTGGCTGCGCTGGTGCCGCTGGTATTCCTGTGTATCCATTCACTCCCCGCGCTTCGAAGACGGATGTACGAGCTCTTCCTGTTCATCCACATGCCGGTCTCGCTCGTCTTTGTTGCCATGCTTTTCTGGCACTGTAAGAACTTTTTGGCATCGTGGAACTATTTGTGGGCCACCATCGCCATCTGGGTTCTGTCGTACGGTGTGCGACTCTTTTATCTCAATTGGACGAACCCTTTTCGCATGTCTTTCATGATAGGAGAGGAGTCAGCAGTGACCATCCTCCCTCATAATGCCATCAAGGTAACCGTTGCCACCACGATGCGATGGAAACCAGGCCAATACGTCTATCTCCGCATGCCCGGCATTTCCCTTCTCGGTCGACATCCTTTCACGATTGCGTCCTTGTGCAGTGATGACTTTCCCTCAGAGTACGGGGAAAACTACCGCGACCTCGCCCTCGTCTTCCGTCCCTTTGGCGGCTTCACACGAAAGGTTTTGCTGAAGGCCTTTGAGTACGGGCCGTACAAGACGTGGACAGCGTTCCTAGAAGGTCCCTACGGAGGCATGCGACGGGAAATGGCCGCCTTCGATGACGTGATCTTCTTCGCTGGCGGGAGTGGTATCACGGCGATTGCGAGCCAACTGTTGGATTTGATCAAGAAGATGCGTGACGGGAAAGCTGTCACGAAGCGGGTCCGCGTAATCTGGGCTCTGAGAAGCCCGGAGGCTATCGAGTGGTTCCGAGAAGAATTGAGGATTTGCAGAGAACATGCGCCCCCAAACACGGTGCACTGCCATTTCTTCCTGACGGGACCGACGCAAGATGACTCCGGGCAGCAGCCTGGCCATGACATCGTCCAGGAAAAGATATACAACATGCTTTCCGGCATGGATAAGCGGAACTCGGCATACATCCGCGAAGAAGCCGCCGGCGATCTCGAGCGCGAAAAGGAGCTCCGTCGCGAAAATGAAGACGCTATCACGTCCTTGCCCCGAATCTACACCTCCCCCGTCATTGGCAGTCGGCACTTTACATCGTTGCCCGGTTTGCAGATAAACCCTGGCAATGTTCCTTTTGACTTTGGATTCTCGAACACCCCTTCTCCACCGCAGAAATCGACGCCTAGGTTTGCGTCACTTCCCTTGCAGAGACGGGATGGCTGGCGAATCGACCATGCCCGACCAGATATCCCGCGCATGCTCACAGAATACTCGCAGACATTTGGCCGCCGGACCTGCGTCTTTGTCTGCGGGCCTCCGAACATGCGGATTGAGGTCACGAAAACCGTGGCGCGGCTCCAGCAGCAGGTGATGATGGATCCGCGTAGAGATGAAATCTTCCTGCATGCCGAGAACTACAATATATGAGAGATGGAACGAGACGAGTTAATGACTGTAATTAGCGAAGTACCCCGCTGGACACAGCGAAGTTAATATCCGCGTTTTTTGTTCTTGTGTTTGCAACGCATCTCTGAGACATCGCACTGTTCGAGTCTTGCTTGTACATTCATTCTGATATAGTTGCGTTCATTCTGTAAATACAGCACTTCATGAACATGAAATATAAGGCTCTGTACAGAGTCTCGGAAGCGAAATGGATGCGAGATATGTACTTCTAAGCCCAAAGGTCAACCTACAGAGCACGCAACTAAAGTCTGTGCCTGCGTCTATAGCTCGTCAAAACAGTTTCTCATAAAGGCAGGGTATCCAGGACGGCAAAACAAATGCTGAAATATAGACAAAAATTCACGCAATGAAAGCAATGAAAGCAGTGAAGAGAATGCAGAGAAGGAATGCGTCGGCTCAATGTCTCTGGGGCTCATCGTCTGCCTTCCGTTTCCTTGGGGGGCCATCATCCCCCTCCAGGATCCTGGACTCCGTAAACTGGACTCCTTGGGCATCCGGGTCATCGCTATCCTCAGCCTCGACTTTCTCCCAGTCGTCATCTTCCTCTTGGCCCTTGGCATCATTCTGCACAGGCCGAGTCTCCTCTGAGTCGTTCTGAGGGGCTCCGTCTGCGTCGCCATCATCGTCACTCCATCGCAGAACCAGTTTGACGATTTTCGCTCCAGAAGGCTTCAGTCGCCGGTAGTAGTTCTCCACCAAGCCCTGTTCGACCTGAAATCCTCGAGCAATGTACCATCTCAGACCCTCCTCGTTGGCTTCATGGACGTGCGCCGTGACGGTGCGGATGTTGTAATGTTTCACCAGCTCTGATACATTGTAAGAAGAAAAGGATGAGGAAGAAGATGAAGTCGAAGGCGAGGGCGGAGAAGCAAAGAGTATAGAATTGAGCAGGGAGGCCGCAACCCCACAGCCTCGATACGGGGAGAGCAGATGGAGAGTCTGGATATAGAGATTCGTTGGCTCCGACTTCTGCGAATGAGACCTCGTTTCAGTCCCTACGGGCAGGCGCTCAAGTCGGCACCTGATGCCTCCAATAACTTTGTCCGTACCTGTGCTTGCTCCTAAGCTCGACGCGGCGGGTGACGGGGTGGTAGACGGTGCCGCGGCTACGGGGTGATCATGGTAGATCGCGACGCGCGAAACCGACGCGATGACGGGGTCGGTGATTGTCGCCGTGTAGAATGAGTTGGGATAGCGGATAGGTAGGAGGAGACCCGTGATGCGAGTCAACGAGGGGATATGCGCGGTGCTGACTGGGTCGATGGTAACGTGGGGATGGGGAGTCTGGTAGCCTGGGGAGATGGCATGAGGGTACGCGGGAGGTTGGAATGAGGGATCCCTCGCCGCTGGCGGTTTAAGACGCGACGCTATATTTGGTGTAGCAGAAGAGCTCGAGGACTGTGGAAGAACTAGTGAGGGAGGCTGCATAGGAGGTCTGCTGTGTCTGGGGGAGGGGGACGACGCGGGAGGGGAGAGGGGTGGAGAAGTGGGCGCTTTGCTGGACTGATGCGCCTTTGCAAAGAACTGATATGCCATGGCGGAGAAAGTCAAAGTCTACTGGAAGTAGCAGATTAAGCAGTCATGAGGAGCAGAAACTGAGTAGGCAGCACAGTTGGACCGAAGAGACAGACGCAAACAGCAGTGCTGGAACTTTGCAACTGTTAAGTGTTGTAACACTGGAACCGCGCGGAGATGCGATAAGATAAGATCGGCTTTAGCCGGTCGGCGGAGACTTGCGAGAGCCAGAGACACTGAGACTGAGATTTGTCCTCCGAAGAGTGACGAGCCAGCCTCCGGTTTTTACAGAAGGAGTTGCTCTCGCTGGTGGTGGAGTTATCTCTTGTGTTTCTCTTGTCGATCCATCCACTATTAATGCAGTCAATCTACTCGCGAGTGTGAGGTAAGTGGTCATTCCCCGTCCGGAGTCTTGTGGCGCGATCTGTTCAGTCAACTGACGGTCTCCCTGCCTTTGGCGTTCGGCCTCCACAGCACGAGTATTATTCAGTTGGCCATTTCTCAGTACTCCCTCCGAATGCCCTCACCTGGTCAATAATACAAATGGACAATAGCGTTTGTTTCTATTGTGCTGCTCTCTCTTGAGTCCCCACTCGCAATCGTCCAAGTCGACCCGACCTCTATCCGCTTGGGGTATGTATCGCTTCAACAATCCACATCTATTCGGCGCATTGTCCGATTCGATCGCATTGACAGCTCAGAGATCACAATAGGCGATACATGGAATTGCTTTCTATTCAGAGGAATTCTTCCGTCAACGTGTGGGTTCGGTCACAACACATTGCTGGGAAGCGGTGTCGTAACAATAGGCTATTGAGGTTAGTTGCGTTCGAACCTCTGCCTGCTTCTGGTCTTTCTATACATTGGAACAGTTTGATTTCCATGTTTTGTCAAGCTGTCTCGCTTCATTGCATTCCTGCTTTTCGGTTCTCCGTCATTGCTGTGATCCTTCTTTTTATACCATCTCCGGATCTCTACGCAAACATGGCCGCAGAACTTATCCCAGATTTTGTCCTTTCATCTAACAACTCTGAAACAGAAGATCACTTGGCCAAGATGGGTGATTCGAAAGGAACAGAAGCTGAGGGGAGTTCCCCGCCTTCAGGAACCATCGCGAAGTTGGTAAGCTGGCTCCTCCTTCTCTCTACTTGCTGTTTCCCGACGATGGTGCCTCGGAACGCATTAGCTGACCAGGTCAGACCTGCGACATTCTCAATGAGACATTCTACAACATCATCCATGATATCGTTGCTCAAGTTCATCGCGATGAAAAGCTCGCTCGCATGCGCTCCGCAGTGGTTGTTGCCAGACAGAAAGCCGAAGAAGAAGTAGCCAGGCGTCGCGAAGATGCAGGCGGCAAGGCTACGGGATCCGTGGATTCAGAAGACCTCAAGGACATCCGAGTAGAAACGGATGGTGCGGTGTTCGAGGACGGCAAGGTCTTTCTCAAAGGCAATCCTCTCCAGACAACAAAGGAAATTATCTGTCCTGATTGTCGCTTGCCACGTCTGCTATATCCAGTAACCGGAGTCGGCGCTCGTCCGCCTCCAGATCCGTATCGCGAATACTGTCAGAATCAGCCACTGATCACAAAACCTGGACACGATGTGCACGGAAATCCCTTCGCTACGGACAAATTGAACCCAAAGAAGAAAAAGCAGACTAATGCTTCCAATACTCCCGCGTCCAGCCCTCCAACCACTCCTGATAGCTCTTTCAATAAGACCCAGGAGAAGGTGTCATATCCCACTGTGAAATGTCCCAACTGTCCGAGATACTTTGTGGTGACACGAGTTGCTCAGCATCTGGACCGTTGCATGGGTTTATCGGGTCGACAGACCAACCGTAACAAAACGCCCATGGAGAATGGCAACGGCTCTCCAAGCACTGGACCTCCGAAGCGTCCACTGGCGGATGATGACGCACCGCCGACTTTGACAAAAAAGAAGAAGCTCAACACACACAAAAAGCTATCTGGAAAGAAACCACCCCTACCCCCAAGCAGCAAACTGAGAAACGGTCTGACCCCTGATATGGCTGCAGCCGCAGATGCGGCGGCCTCTGGGGATGTTGACATCAAACGTGAAGCCAAGGACAACGCATGAGCTTATCATCCTGTCTGGCCACCTTGACCTTACTTTTTCTGGATTTTGCAAGGTCACTTACTTTGAGGATGAACCCTCTGAACATAATCTCCATCCAAAGTTCTATTTCCCTTTGTCCTTAACGATATTGACGTAAATATTGGGCATCAGAAGGCGTCAACAGGAACCTGCTCTGATACTTTAAACATGCCTGGCTGAACGATTTGGGACATATTTGGCGCCCTTTCTCTTTCTTTCTGTTGCTTTCTTCTGTCTCATTTGTGGCTTCTTTTACTTTGGGATATTTGTTTTTCTTTGCTTGTCCGACCAGTTAGTCGTCGGCATAGACGATGGAGCACTGATATGTACAATAGCCTGGCAACACCAGCCTGCTCCTCGATAGCGCCCGCATGGAACATTGCTTGTGATTTATCAAGTGACCTCTTCAAGTAGTTGACTCGCCCAGGTCATAAATAGAGACAGCGGCTTTGTACTTCTTGATCATAACATTTGTGCACCCACCGAGTGCGGAGTCTAGAATCAGCTCCAAGCTGAAGCGGATATTGCCGCAAGACGTGCGGACCCGCATAAACCCACCATCGATGCGCTTATCGAATCTCGTCATACCTCGCCTCATTTCTGACCGTTCAGTCTTAATTGGCATGAAGGTACACGCGTCACTCATTTTATTTTCAATAAACCTCTTCTGAGCTTCTCCTCTGAGTCCGCGCGCAGAACATGAGTAACTCAAACCTCGTCGCGTGGGCAGTGCCCCGCCTGGCCCATCTCTTGCCACTGGACGAGGAGTCGTTGACACAGATTATCACTTACTCTGCCGGTCTTCCAAAGGAAGAAGGTGCCGAGCATCTCAAAAACCTCCTCGGCGACTCTCCCGCAGCCTTTGAATTCATCGCCTCCTTCAGCGCCCGCCGAGACCAAAACCAGACGCAACCCCCAGCTCGAGGCGGGGAAGAGCAATCCGCAGCGGCCGACGCATACACCACTGACAATGTGAATTCTGGGACAAGAGCCGGAGCCAAGAGGGGCAAAAAGGCCAAAGCGCCTCTTCACAGCGCAGGACTCGTACGCAGGCCTGAGAATTTCGGGAATGTGGCGGGAGGTTATAGGAAGGAGGATCAGGATGAGGATTACATGTCAGCTGGACCGGCTCGGCAGGCGAGACAGGATACAGCTGCTTTACGGCCAAAGGGTTCAGCATCTTCGCTACAGGCTCCGCATCGGCAGAACGCTTTGTCCTCGCTTGAGTCGTCCGCCGCGTCGTCACGTACGCAATCGCCCGCGCCCCGGTCGTCGGGTACTCCTAAGAACCCACCGTCCGCATCGGGACCGGTGCTCTCAGATCTCCTGCCCAACGTCAAGTCGAAAGCTGCCAAGTCATCCTCCCGACAACCGGGAGGCGGGGGCTCATCTAAAGGAGCGCTTACAACGAACAACATCTCCGACCTGACGGCCGCGATTGCCGCTCTCGAAGTCTCTACGAATCCAACCTTAGGCGGTGGCCGGCAGAAATGCAATTGCTACGCTACAATCCACCCGCTCTTCGAACCGGCCCCGAACTGCCTGAACTGCGGTAAGATCATCTGCTCCCTCGAAGGTCTCCAGCCATGCTCGTTCTGCGGGACGCCGCTCCTATCAAACGAAGAAGTGCAGAGTATGATCCGGGAGCTGCGCGCGGAGCGCGGACAGGAGAAGATGCGGGCTCACAATGAAAGTGTCCACCGGGAGGGTGGGCCAGGCCCGACTCCCGTGGGAAACAGCAAGCTTGACGCGGCCAAGGCGCACCGTGATAAGCTACTTCAGTTCCAGGCGCAGAACGCCAAACGCACGCGGGTTGTGGATGAGGCTGCGGATTTCGAAACGCCGAATGTGGCGTCTACGCTGTGGATGAGCCCGGCCCAGCGGGCGTTGGCGCTGAAGAAACAGCAGCGGATACTCCGGGAGATGGAGGAACAGGCGCGGCCGGAGTGGGAGAAGAAGAAGACTGTCATGAGTTTGGATATCAAAGGAGGTCGCGTGACTCGAGTGTATCAATCTGCCCCGCCTGCGCAGTCGAGCTCGGCCGCGGAGGAGAAAGAGGAGGACGTCGAGGATGTGTCGCACGAAGAGTCGAAACCAAGTGGCGGCGAAGCTTTCAGTCGGAACCCACTACTCGCAGCTGGCGGGCTGCTACGGCCCGTTTGGAAGGCTGCAGACAAGCAGGCAGAAGGGGCGGCTACAAAAGAACGCAAGCAGACATGGCGGCGTGTCCAGGACGACAATGATGACAATGAACAATGGATTCTCGATGGTGGTTTGCACGGTTATACCACTTAGCTTCTGAATATCACCCTATCACCTATCACCTTTACCCATGTGGAATCAAATCCTCGTCTGCACGGCAGAAATCGGGCATGCCTCGAACTGTCTGCACGTCGGCAGAGATTGCGTACACATCCTCCATTTACTACTTTGCCAATCCTCAGCCGATAACGGCGACTTGGCCGCACCCAGCATAAAGTGCGACATCCCCGCGCGATTTCTGTTTAGCGGTATACTGATGGAGTAGTTTTGCGCAATTTCTCCGCGTCTACTGTTGCCAAATACCCGCATTTGCTCCGCGGCCCACTTCAGTGGTGGTGAAGGTCTTCTATAATCCAGCTGAGGTCGGATATCAGCGGGTGTCTTCAGAATGAGTAGTGGATACGGTCTCCTCAAGCCGAGTTACTTCTGGTAGGAGATATAGTGCACCATTCAGTGGTGACTGAGACCACTGTCGGCATTAGCCTGATGAGATGAATAGAAGCCTGTTCGCATGGTAAATATGATTGCACCGATACCCCTGAATCTCCGTAACCCTGTACACTTGTCTACATTGCATACTTAAGCTTAAATCTGCGGGTGTATGACGTACTGTACAACAGCAGTCGACAGAGAGAACACATAATTTCTGCACATCCCCTTGCTATAAATATCTTAGTCGTTGGTAATAATTCCATGCAACTTACTCTTATCATTGTCAGCAGTCCGTAAACGATGACCGCATGGATGGCGGAAGTACGACCGCATCTAACCGAGCCAGCGTAAAGATATAAAGAACCCTTTGGCTGGACATTCGAAGAGAGATCATGCGCACTTAGAGGAATCCTACCTCTACCTTGGTCGAATTTCCCCATTTCATCACTACTCTAGCTCCATCTTTTGCGGGGAAAGTGGGAAGACCTAACTCGGTTGAGCTCGGCTAGCATCGGAGGTTGCAGTCGTCGGCATCATCATTCATCATTGTTTCATCTGCTGCTTGGAAATCATGCTAGTTCAACCATTATTGGAGAATTTGTCTGTTTGGGGGGCGGTGCAAGGGATTCTGTCTCTCCTTGGGGTTTTGGTAAGTCATCTACCTCTAGTCGCCGGAGTAATATGCATGTTATGCTATGATCATGGGTACCAGCGCTGACAATCTCGGGCGCAGACAGTAGCGTATATCACGTACAATCGATTCTTCCACCCGTTACGCTCTATTCCCGGACCCTTCCTCGCTTCCATAACCCCCTGGGTACAACTCTACCACGGTCTGAAAGGCGACCGACACCTATGGCTTCACCGTTTGCATGAGAAATACGGCTCCCATGTCCGGGCAGCACCCAATTTCGTCTCCATCAACACGGACCGTGGCCTGCACGACATCTACGGCCATGGCAAGCGGCTCCGCAAGGCCAATTTCTACAATGCCTTCCCCGCCATCAAGGGCGTGTACAACACGCACAATGCAATCGACAAGGCGATGCACGGGCGCAAGCGGCGCGTGCTCAGCCAGGCTTTCTCGGATCAGGCGCTGAAGAGCATGGAGGATGTGATGCTGCTGCATGTGCGGCAGCTCTGCGGAATTCTGAGTGGTGGGCTCGAGGGAAAGGGCGAGAAGGGCACGATTTTCAACATGGGAGATTGGTTTAGCTATCTGACCTATGATGTGATGGGGGAGCTGTGCTTTGGGAAGAGCTTTGATATGTTGATCTCTACCGGACGGCGGAAATTGATTGAGCTTGTGGATCGCGCTGCCAACCGGCACTATGTGGTATGTCCCTTTTTCTCCTCTGGTATTTTCTTGCACAGAAACTGACGAAGTCAGTGCGGATTGTGGATGCCGCTCGACACCTGGCACCTGGACCAGATCTTCATCCACAAGTTGACCAACGACCGATGGAACTTCATCATGAACTCCCGAATCGAAGCCAACGAGCGGGCCAAGGAACGGACGCAGGCCGGTCACGACGCCAAAAAGGACTTCTTCTACTACCTGCTCAACGCCAAGGACCCCGAAACCGGGAAGGGCCTGACGACGCCCGAGCTCTGGGGCGAAGCAAACGTCCTGATGATCGCCGGCAGCGACACGACATCCACCACGATGTCCGCGACGATCTTCTACCTGGTCCGCAACCCCCGCGCCATGGAATTGCTCCGCAAGGAGATCCGTGAGAACTTCTCCTCGGTCGAGGAGATCGTCACTGGCCCCAAGCTCAACGAGCTCGTCTACCTGAAGGCGTGCATCGACGAGGCAATGCGTCTGGCGCCTGCTGTCCCCGGCGCGCCCCCGCGCGAAGTCATGGAGGGCGGCGCCATGATCGATGGAGTTTTTCTGCCTCAGGGTACAGACTGCGGGACCCCGACGTACTCGATCCACCGGCAACCCGAGTACTACCGCGACCCCGAGGCGTATATCCCGGAGAGATGGATCGAGGGCGCGACGTGCCAGGCCGGCAACGAGTCATGGACGACCAGCAAGGAGGCCGTTGAGCTGGCGCGCAGGGCCTTCTGCCCCTTTAGCATCGGGCCGCGGGGGTGTATCGGGAAGAGCATGGCGTTCATGGAGATGCGGGTGACCATTGCGCGGTTGATGTTCCTGTTTGATTTTGAGCTGTCAGACCATAAGGGTGAGGATGGAAAGGGCCAGCTGGCTCTGGTGGATCATTTCACTAGCTCCAAGTACGGGCCGAATGTTATTGTCCGGAAGAGAGTGTGAACTTTGATGTGATACTCGGTTAATTGTAAATTGCATGAGCTATGACAATCAGCATTTGATCAGTATGAATATTATTGGCTTGACGATCACAGCTACAACGTAGATAGTCTACTGTCTAGTATAGACTACACGTAGTACAAACAAAAGACACGGTTGCCGCACGTGGCTTGGCCGCAGGATCGTGTGTTTATGCAATGTAACTCTAGCTGCTACTGCTAGCATATGCTAAAGCTAAACCACATGCAAGTCAAAGATCATCTCCTATCTATCTACAGACTCAATCAAAGCAACCTCCAAAACTTTGTCTATGTCTTAACCTGAGGAAACAATCACAGCATGCTATACCCAGAATGCCCTCCCCCCTAACAACGACCTTGATCCAATCCACCCTCCTAAACGCCCTCTCCAACATCCTCGCCCAAATAATCGCCCAGCATAAAAAAGACGTAAGCTTCCTCAATCTTCCTTAGTGTCAATGGCAATTCCTTAATAAATGGTTGGTAGGGCCCGTTCACACTCAACACCCTCGCCCTCCTCCAATTCCTCACCTACGCCATCATCATCGTCCCCATTAACTTCTCCTGGCAGAAGTACCTGGAGGCGAGATGGCCGGGGTTTCCGGGGAGGAGTAGGCGTAGGCCTGTTGCTACTGCCGCCGAGGCGAAGGCTGGCGCTGTTGTTGTGACGGTTGAGCCGGCGGATCTCCTCCCTGTTAAGGAGAAGGTGGAGGAGAAGCAGCGGGTATCTAGGTCACGATGGCGATGGCGCTCGCGCTCCGGGCTGGGTAATTTCCTAATGAAGTTCTTCCTTGATCAGACGGTTGGGTCGGTGATGAATATTCTCTTGTTTATTGTTTTGATTAATGTGCTGAAGGGCGTGGGGTGGAGGAGGATTGGGGAGTTGATCTATGAGGTACGTCTCTTTCATTTATAGGTTGTCTACATGCTTGTGAGGGGTGTTGATGTGATGAATAGGACTTTGGGCCGATCATGATTGCGCGGCTTAAGTATCGGCCTGTTGTGTCGGCGTTGTTGTATACGGTTGTTCCCGTGGAGAGGCGCGTGGTGTTTGGGAGTGCCTGTGGGGTTGTCTGGGGGATCTATTTAAGCTTATATGCTGCTGTATAGGCGTGAGATCATCATATAGAAGCATCTTTTAATTCATTATTAAACAAGTCATATTCACACATTAGAAGTTTGTCATCTGTGGGATAAACTAAGCGACAGGTCATCTAAAGACGGCAATAGACAGTCCGCCCTGCAAGCATGCCCCGACTCCCATGCTAAGGCCTGATCCATTTCAGCATAAGTCAAAAGTAATAGCAATCTATATTCACACAGCATTCCCAAACCTAAGCAGGGATTGCCTCGATCTTCTTCCCCTTCACAGAGAGCCACTGCACGGGAATCGCTCCGAATATCGAAACCGCCGACATGGCAACTGCAACATAGAACGACTCGGTGATGGCGTTGCTGTAGGCGACGAGGACTGCTGGTAGCACATCCTCGGAAACAACGTGCCGCAGCATGGTTGCACCAGTCCCTGCAACTTGTGCAGCATTGACACTCGGCGCCTCGATGGCCAGATTTTTGTACAGTTGGTTCTGGAAGACGTTCTGCCCGACTGAAACGAACAGCGCGCCTCCAAGAGATTGCGTGAACATCACGATCGACGTCGCGCTGGGGACATCCGCGTCTTGGACCGCAGTCTGCACCACAATCATCGCTTGCTGAAGTCCGACGCCAATCCCAATCCCAGTCAGGGCCTGGTACCCTATCCAAGCAGGATGGCCGGAGTCAACCTTCAGTGTCGATAGCAGACCAGCCCCGATCGTCATAAGTACCGACGAGATCAGCATAAAGGGCGTGTAGTAGCCAATTGTAGAAACCAGGAACCCAGAGAGGAGGGACATCAGAACTGTTCCAAGCAGCATGGGCAGATTCATGATACCAGATTTGGTTGCCGAGACGTCTTTGATGGCTTGGAACCAAATTGGAAGCTGTACAATCAAAAATCAGCCAATTTAGATCAACGGGTAGCGAGTCAAACATGCACACGTACGTAGTAAACAAACAGCATGAACGCAGCCGATACAGCGAAGCTATAAATTGCAGCACCCCAGACATTACGGTTCTTCAATATTCGAGGAGGCACCGTAGCATTATCCTGCGCCCAATGCTGCCGAACCGCGAAGATCACGATCAGAACTGCGAACACGACGAAGAGAGCGATGATACGGGCATTGCCCCAATTGTACTTGGTGCCTCCCCATTGCAGAGCCAGTAGCATGCAGACGATGGCGGGGAAAAAGACAAAAAGACCTGGCAAGTCAAGCCGCGACAGCTGATCCTTGAGACCCGAATTATCCTTGTATGATTTTGGCGCCTTGAAAAACAGAAGGACGAAGAGCCAAGTCAAACCCCCGATAGGCAAGTTGATATAGAAACACCATCTCCAGGTGACATGGTCGGTAAAGGCACCACCCATCAGAGGCCCAGCCACACTGGAAATGCCATACATACCACCCAGCACACCAGTGTAGATTGGGCGCTTCTGCAGTGGCACGGACTGGGCGATAATCAGGATCGAACCGGTAAATAATCCAGCTGCACCCAAACCGGCTACCGCACGGCCAATGATCAGCGCGACAGAATTAGGAGCGACACCGCATATCAAAGATCCAATTTCGAAGATCGCTATGGCACTGAGATAGACCCATTTGGTCGAGTAGAACGTGTAGAACTTGCCGTATGGAAGCACCAGGGAGCAAGTGGTCAGCAAGTAGGCACTTCCATACCAACCGACATCATCCAAAGAGTTGAACTGATCTGTAATCTTGGGAATTGCCGTCGCCAGAATAGTATTGTCCTAGTAAAACGGTTGAAGTCAGTTAGCTTTTCTCGCACTGGAGAGTAAGATGCTCTAGAGTACGTACCAAAGACATGCAGAAAATCACAAGGCTGATACTGGTCATCACCAAGCCCAGCTTCCATGATTTCAGATATTCTGGCTCTTGTTTTTCATCCCCTTGGCGCTCGCTGTATTCCATATCCATTGCCTGGCTGTCACTGCGTCTCTCAGGAACAGGCGACTCGGGATATTCAAGCCCTGGGGAGGACTCCACTAGTGTGCTCTCCTTGTCGGATGATTGTCGTCTTCCTGGTGCGTGTAGGTCAGATGTGAGCTTTGTCTGTGAGCTATTTGGGCCACGCTCATGTGGCAAGTGGCTGCTCGCTGTGTTCTCCATGACGAGAGGGTAGGTATTAGAGTCCGATGTCGATGCCGACAGTAACTTGGAGCGACTGGAAATGAGTTGCTCCTGAAGAGGAACAGTAATCTCACTGATCCTAGATCAAAACATCAAGCAAATGAAGGAAGCAAGGTCGACCCCAGGCGTGATATGAATCCACGCTGATCGACTTTGGACAAGGGAGCAGGTGGTGGCGTTTTGACTGCTTGGGCAAGTAATGGACAGATATTTGACTGTGTGAGCTGAAAAGGAGATAAAATCACTCTCAGCGCGTGGCAGAATACTGACAATGTTAAAGAGCAGGCGAGCGAGTAATGACTAAACGAGGATTGTTTGTGCAACCTGCCATTCACTGGCTGGCCAGTCCTTAGAGCACATCCAGGTACCTACCCTAATGCTATGGCCATAGCCTTACTTACATACCGGGAGTTATGCTCCTCGTCCATCCGGTATGGTACGTAAGCAAGTAGACAAAGAAGATTGCAATCAAGGAGGAGAGATGTACTGACGTGCTGCCAAGTATCCGACCAGGAGATGTATCCATCAAACAAAGGCATGCATTTGCCCAAAAGGGCAGCTAATATCATCTAGTGCATTCACTCTCTGCCTTAAGGCTGGTGAATGACCGGATGACCAAACTCTCCTCCTCCGAGAGCAGTATGAATGTCAATCCTTAATCTAGATACCGGGTGATCCTTGCGCACATCCGAGTAAACAATGAAGCATTCCAAAAGTGGCTCCGTGTCTCAAGGACGCGTCAACATGTACTCTCTCCCTATGTTACATTCATCTCCAGTTCCCGAGCATGAACTGGCTCTTCTAAGTCGGACTCTAAAATTGCCGAGAGTCCGGGACAAATCATCTCAAGCACCTGTAGGAAACGAGTTGTCTCCATCGATTAGGTTCTAACAGGTGCCATATGCAGATCAACGCACCTCCAACCACTGTACAGTGTACACTTTGAGTCTAGAGGCACTAGTCCAAAACGCAGACAAACGCAGACAAACGCAGACAAACGCCTAATAGGCACAAAGATACTCTTTGCTTTTTCCATTGCTGATCATCCAAGGCTACCTACACAGGAGCCTGAAGTTCCCAAGGGCCAACAACCACATATGCATCAGCTCCCCATCAGACATGATACAGTGCACCAGCAAGAATGGGAAATATTCACCTCCATATCCATATCCTTATCCCTCTAATGCATTTCACTCCACACATGATAATCAAGCAAAACTGCCCTGTTTCCATGATCATCCCTTGAGATCGACACCACCAAGCTCTAGTTCGGCCCCCCTTGCTTGTGGCTTAGTCTAGGGCTGAGACGTGTATTTATGATTCGCTGCCACCAGACAAACACATCAGACGAGCGTATTAGAGGCTAGACTACCTAGATAAAGGCTCAAAATTCTGTCCACTGTTATCATCGAAGATTTGTGCTTGTTTGCTTATCTAATCTTGGGTCTTAAGAGGGTTATTGTACGTGGCGATAGACTTTGTGGAATATTATGCCAAAGCTAATGTGCGATTTGAAGAGAATGAAGGTTGAGGAGTAGGTACGTGGCCCGTACCCGATACAGGCTGCAGTATGCATGGCAGTATGCGTGAGTAATGAGGCATTGCAGAGTGATATCTATTTGCCATCATATGACAATAGTTGCAAGGCTCATGTCCATTCTTATGCACTGAGCAGTCGTGTAACAATATTCCTCTATAGCTGAGCAATTGCAGAAACAGCGAGATAGTCGTT